GAAATAGATTAATAAATAAGACTCTGAAGGGCAAAAACCATCCAGCTCAAGTTTAGTAGGTGAGCATAATAAAGATCATTGTTGAAATGTTTTCATAGTATGCAATAGAAATAAGACCATAATGGGTAGAGACTACTATTGAATACTGTTCTTGCACTAGTGGAAAAGAGATGTTCTGTGCTTACAATGCAAATGGCAAAAGATATAACTAATAATTAATAGAGAGATAAGGTAATGAATAACTGTAAGTGTTTTGACAAACTCAGGGAAATGCCCTTGAGGATATACAAGAATGGTTTGTCCCAGTTGGATAATGTCCTGAATTGGGAAGGACTTCAGAGGTCTGGAGTCATTTAAGCTGTGGACCAATATGATAACAAGCACCTAATCATATTTCCCATAAATGCTCATAGTGTCAGGGTACTATCAGTAGAAAATTCTCCATGGCTTTCTCATGCTTCTGCATGTCTTACAAGCAGAGGAACTGATGGACTTTGCTCTACTCTATCATTTCAAGAATGTATATGGGGTAAATGGCCTTGGAAAGTATATGTCACCTTCCAGAGGAAAGGGTAGATATGCCTACTTTCCAATATGAAAGATTCAGAAATCCCAAGCACAGAGTTCTCCCCCAGTAATGCTCAGTGTGTATGCAGGTGCCACCTGACATTCTTAGTGTTATTCAATGGGGTTTGGATCTTAGGGAACTGGTATAGGAAAATGATACATTTTAGTTACCAGCATTCATAAAAGTACAGCAGGCTAATTGTTTGTCTGCAAGTAGCCTTCAGAATTCTCGATAGATTACTGACCATGTCTTGCCTGGTGAGGAAAACAAATACATAAAAGCAGCAGGAGACATTTAGAGTTAATGTTTATGTAATTCTCTGAGACGCGTGAGCGCCTAGCAGAATGATTACGGAATTTCACAATGACCCGCTATCTACAGAAAGTAGATATGTAATTGTTGAAAAGAAGTCAGCAAATAATGTCACTGCAGAAGAATTCATGGACTTTCCTACTCACCAATTATTCGCTGCTGACTCTCACTGCTGACTTTCCTCCTTTAAGATCCACTTTGAACCAGCTGGGAACCAGGGCTTCAGTCTCAGGAGATGATTGCATTTTCCCATCTTGTTGAACATATGTTGAGAGTGTCTTCATAGTTCCTCAGGAAACTAGATTTTGATTCCTAGCTCTGAACAACCTTCCAGTTAATTTTGTATGGATTCTTGCAACGATGACCATGTTCTCTTTCTTGATTTGTTTTTAGGAAGATGAAGCAATAGCACAACAATTCGGCTCTAAGGAGATTTGTGCTCACTGAAGGCTTGGAATTTTTCTTCAGCATCATTGGGTGAATAGTATCTCAATACTGACAAGAAAATTCCTCAGTTTACGCTATCCATTTGTCAAAGTGTAATGCCATTTTCTAAGACTGCACATTGCCTGTATGCCCTACTGCTCACTTATGCACTCTTCTGCTCATGCCTACTCTCCTCGGGGTTTAGGCCTCAGTATGGCCCAGTAGCCCTTCATTTTGTGTATTCTCCTTCATTTGTTTCCTCAACTTTTCAAAGCCCTAATAAGTCAACCATTTGAGTTGGGGAGCTGGCTAACTCTGATTCCTTGCATAAGATCAATAATTATTTCTAGGTTATGTAAATGAAGATACATTTTAGGGCTTTTTAAAATTAGACCTCATCAGTTTAGACTTTATTTCCCCAATTAAAAATACTGTACCTAGAAAAGATAATTGTAATGACACAGTAATATTACTCATAACAACAACCTTGGCTGAGTGCTTATTATATGTCAGTCACTGCGCCAACCACTTTATACATATTAATTCTCATAAAATACAATTAGCATTTTAAAGATAAATAGATGGGCAGAGAGAATTTATGTAATTTTCATAAAGTCACCCAGTAACAGAAGTGAGATTCTGCCCCCTGCTAAGGGAAGGGATGTTTACAATGCAAATGTAAACATATTACATGGATAGAAAATCAAGTTTGATTTGGGATGAAATAATCAGCCATAAAAATCTCTCCATTGATGCAAATGATTTATGAGTCATAAAGAAATACATTAGATCTGGGGTCTTAAAGGCTTTTTTCCAACAAGCAGCCATCTAAGTGTGATGTCAGCTAAGTCCCCATCATCAGCCACTGAAGGATTGGAATCAATATAATCCAAAGTGGAAGGAGAGATCAGTTGAGCGTAAATTGAGAAAATCCAGAGTACAAAAGGCAATGGATGACAATGGAGGCCCAAGATTCATTTGTGGAGCTACATAGCCTCCTACCTAAAATTGAGGATGGGAGAAAAGTGCTTAAGTTCCTTAAACACTC